TGATCATCTTCATGGCCCTCCTCTGGACCCGCTCCAAAAGGTCCATGTCCTTCTTATCTTGAGGGCTCCAGAGCTGGATGCAGTATTCCAGGTGTGGTCTCACAAGAGCATAGTAGAGGGGCAGAATCACCTCCCTTGACCTGCTGGCAATGCTTCTTTTGATGCAGCCCAGGATACGGTCAGACTTCTGAGCTGCGAGTGCACATTGCTGGCTTGTGTTGAGTTCCTCATCAACCTACACCCCCATGTCCTTCTCCTCAGGGCTGCTCTCGATCCGTTCTCCGCTGAGCCTGTATTTGTGCATGGGATTGCCCTGGCCCATGTGCAGGACCTTGCACTTGGCCTTGTTGAACTTCGTGAGATTTGCACAGGATCTATATTAAGTATGTTGTAAAATAGCCTGTAAGAAACAGTTTCACTGGCTCTAATGCTGGATCAAAAAGAGTCTTTTAATGTATTAACGTAGGGGGAGGTCTAAGATTCTTAATTTGAATAATTAAGCTGGTTTTGTATTTATAAAAGCATTTCTAGGAAATAGTGACATTATGGCATGATTGTTACTCACATCAGCCCTATTGTTAGGATAAAAATGAATATGAATGTGTTCTTTTTGTTCAGATGTTTTACCATGAAAGAAGAAAATTTGTTGCATAATGAACAGCAGTTTTAACTATTGTCTTATCACCATTGTCTCATTCTTTAGCGAGCTTCTGATGTCATGACTTTCAACTTTTGATGGCATATATGATTCCTAGCTTGAGATTTTTTTAACATTTTGATATGGAGATAGGTTTTAGTTAGAGAAACACTTCTTGACTAGATCTAATTAAGAATATGTAGTTTTCATAGCAAATGAAGCTGGAAACCATTTTGTCTAACATGTTCAGAAAAACTGATCAGTAGAGAATCCAGATTTTTTGGGTCTTTGTTCCTAAACTGAAGCTTAGTTTAAATGGTGGGTTTCAGGTCTGAGCTTGAGTTTGGTTATTGAAGATTGCACAGCTTCACAAAAATACAGTTTTTTTTCCATATAGGATTTTTTTTTGAGTGTGAAAAAATAGAGATAACAGTAAGATGATTGAAACAGAAATTGTCATATCCCATGGAAAGATTCTATTTCATGTTATTTCAATCATTATTTTTATATTCTGTATACAGCAAGGAGATGTGTCATACCCAAACACAGCTTTTTGCTAGTTGCATTGCAAAAGCAATGTAGAGCAGTCCCTTTTCTATATGATAATGAAGCTAGACAACAAAATTACTTAACCTTGTAACTCTGAAAAAAAAGAGTGTACCATACCTGTCAAACTATATTTGTAAGTGAGCTAATTGACTCAAACCCAGCACCATTCTAGAAAGTGAAGATGGCAGCTACTGAAGTCGTTCAATAGTGCATTACAGGAAATGGGTTTTATTCATAGTATCAATGTATTAACTTTCAAATAGTTTTAGAAAACCATTCAGCAAAATCCAGACTTGCTAATAACATTATCTGGTTGAAAGTAAATGGAAGCTTTGCCAACCTAGTGTTTAAAGCTCTCACCAAGAATCTTATTTATTTGAAAAATATTTATATTTTCTTAATAGAAATTGCAGCTATTCATTCAAAATTTACTATTCAAGAAAAGTACGTTTTATGTTGCATGAATATTGTGTGCTTTCTTAGTTTTAGCCCAGGCTTTTAAAAGTGAAATCAATTTCTTACCTCAACTCTATTAATCAAGAAAAAATATAATTTCTGTCTTTTGTGAAGCTGTCATAGTTCCTGCGAAATATTAGACCCTAGGGCCCAGTACTCCATTTAAAGCATTCTACTTGTTCATATAATCTTTTTTTTTTTAACATTCCTTTTGCTTATTTGATGACTTTTATTCTTTTCCCTCTCATTTAGTGAAATTCAATATTATGTCCCTATTCTGTTCCTTTTAAAGACAACTTAATAGAAAATAATAAAAAGCAGAGATTTAATATTTTTATTTTTCAAGGGAATATAGCTGTATTTATCACATTGTCTACTTTCTTTATTTTCCTCTTTTGTATTTTTTGTTTTCTTTTGTTTTCTTGCATATTCTCTGAAAAGTGGTGGGCATCCAGATGAATTGAAAAAGAACTAAAGCTATGTAAGACGTGATTTAAGGCCAGGCTGGATGGGGCTTTGAGCAACCTGGTCTAGTGGAAGATGTCCCTGCCCATGGCAGGGAGGTTGGAACTAGATGATCTTTAAGATCCCTTCCAACCTAAACCCTTCTATGACTATCAAAAAATATTTACGTCCCTAAAGATGCAGATAAATACATATTGGGATTTTTAAAAATGTATAAAAGCACTTAATTTTTAGAAGTCTTCATATTCTCAAATGTCTGAAGTTATGCTGTTTGGGGTTCTAATGAATTCATGTTTAAATGCTTGGTTTTTCCTTTTATTTTTATTTTTATTTTTATTTTTATTTTTATTTTTATTTTTATTTTTATTTTTAAATCCACTCTTTTCCTGGCTCATTCTCTCAGGATTGTGTTTGTACCCAGGCTTACCATGACTAGGTCCTTCTTCTCTAAGAGGTCTAAGTGCAGTCAGTGGTGACTACACAGCAGGAGGAAGGGTAGCAGAATCGTGTTCTCAAGGGTATATAAGAGGAAACAAGTCTCAGTGTAGGCATTTTCTCAAGATGCTCCAGCTGATGAATTAACTAATGTAGTTCAGAATGTGGAAGTTGATCACTGTGATGATTTTGAGCCTGAGGTGTTGTCTTGGGTTTTTTTGTACCAAACTTTTTTTTTTTTTTAGGTTGAACAGTTCATACCAACTGCAGGTGCAATTCATGTCACCTTAAATAACTAATCTTAAAGTTAAGTGCCCATTTTCAGCTAATTGTCTAGACACACTCTATCGTCAATGAAGAAATAAAGGCACTTCAAGAGTGTGATTCATCCCGTCCTAAATTAGATGTCTAAGCTGGGATGAATTGGAAGTAGCTGTCTTTCTCCACCAAATGTCAGGAGAGCGCTGCCAATTGGTTAGACAAAAAGCAGCTGAAGATAGGTGAGATGGTCCCCCTCTGAGCCATTGATATATCTCTTATCCCTCTCTGTTGTTTCACTGATTTGGGAGATGAGTAACATTTTTCACTATTTGCCAAATAGGGCAAGCATGTTAAATAGATGTTAGTATCAAATCCATCAGGTTGATGAGTACATAAGGCAGAAGATAATGTATACAGTTCCACTGAACCTGTGCATAGACAGTCTGTGCTTCATTTTGATTTGTCAAATGATAGCTTAAAGAGCAAAACCTGATGCATAAACCATCATACAAATTTCAGGTTGAGATCAGCCTGGAAATCAGCATCCACCCACAGGGACAACTCCACTTGGTTACTCCTCTGTACAAAAAACATCACAGTGACACTTCAGAGCTATCCTGTCACTTTCTTGTTTCTTTTCTGAAAAGTAAATATTCTAGCTGAAAAACAAATTAAGCACACAATGGATGTATAATACATCTCAAAAGTAACTTGAATGGAAAGCATTTCAGGCTGGCAGAAATATTAGACAAGTTTAACACCATCTGTATGGTTTTCTCAATAAAATTCAGAATAAATATCCATTAGAACATTAATGAAGGTTGAAACTTTTCTCAACAGAGTAATAAGTAACACTTTTACAGCAGAAATTCTGTGCAGTAGATTTATTCCCATGTACTATTTGTGAAATGAAGGGAATATGCAATTTAACATTAAACTTAGCAAGAATGTTTATATTTCGAGGCATGGTTTACAACAGAAACAAATCAACAAAAAGCAATTGTTAAGATTTCATTTACTTCTCCAGCACTAAGCTTCTCCTGAATGTTTTTCATAATTGGACAATAATGTTTTTCAGATGATAGTGAAGCCTTCACTGAGAAAACGATGGACAAAACAACCACTGCTGTGATATAGGATGTCATCTCTCTGAAGGTTTGCTTAACAATTTAAAGGAACAAACGTGTATTAAGCCTGCACTGCTACTAGGCTGAGGTAGGAGAAAACAACACTGTCAAAATTCCATTAAGGTTCACCCAACTCTAAACTAGTTTTCTCAGATTTTGGTTGCAATGTAAATATGGCAGTGGGCAAATTTACCCTGTTGCTATGATATGTTTTGATGTTTGAACTGCTCATTGGTTTTGCCTCTTCCCTTTGTTACTCTAGTTCAAGGAAAGGAATGCTCAAGGACAGGTGTTTCTGCTAGCTTGTTAACTGAGTTTTCTTTTATTCATATTTAAAAGCACTTATGCTCACTGTGCTTACATTTTACTGATACTATCTTAAAGTCAGGACCCTAAATTCTTAAAATCCTATGCTTGGTACATATGGAAATCTGTGCCACAAGAACACTTTTACTTGCTTAATGCATGTTAAGGTGGAAAGAGACCAGTCAGTTAACTGCTATAATCATATGCACAGTGCAGCCATCTTGTCTCATCTAGTTGTTCCCTCAGCTGTGCAAAAAAAGACACTGTAGACGTTTCAAAACCCAAAGATTCTTCTGTTTCACTGTCATTAGGACCTACCTTCTGTTAGCATTCTGAGTTTTGTTGGTCTTAATTAAGATTATTTCTTTCTCTTACCAAACTGTGACTATAAAGACATACACATCATGGTTATCTTTTTAATCCTTTTAATAACAATAATAGTAAAAAACCTGTTGCAATTACTTTTCCATTTATTATTGTGATATATATTTATTTTTTTACAAAGGAACTTGACAAGCAGATTTCTGGAGTTCTTAATGGAGTTGAAACAATAGCCTATGCATGTCATTGTACATGCATAGTGAAATGATGAACATAAATCACGTAACCACACACACACACACACACAGAAAACAAGGCACTGTTGAGACTGTACAAGTAATAAATGACCAAGAGGTTAATTACACATTAAAAACTGAGCTTCTAATGAAAACTGTATCAGTAGTCATTTTAACACCCTAAAGCTGTGCATTGTTTTGGGGTTCTCAGCTTAAAAGCCCAGCTGTGTCCCTTTTTCCATATGTGTTGGACCCCACATTCGTAGGTGAATAAATTGCTCCAATGTTGTTGCTGGAACGAACTAAAAAGTCAGCCAAGCGTTGTGTCACACATGTAGCAGTGTTGCATTTCCGTTTCTCCAGGTGGTGACTACTAAGGTAAAACAAAAAGAGCCAAGATTAAGTCAAATGATGAGCAATCAAGTGTGCCACTTCTGATAGGCATTTGAGCTGTGCTAATGTGGGAGTTCTTTTAACATGTGCACAAATACAGGAACATGACAATCTTCCTACCACCTACTTTGCGCCTGAAAAAAAGTCTTGGCTGTATGCTATTATCAGTTTTAATGATGGGGGTTATTTAAATGCAAAGACCTTAACAGTCATATGTCATTTTTATTGATATTCCGCATAGCAGTTTGTGACATCTAGAAAACCTGTAATGATAGTATAGTTAAGACAGTAAGTGAAAACAATGACTAAATGTTTAGCTTTCAGCTGAACTTCTAAATCTATTTAGAGCTCTTGCTGATATCATGAGGATTACTAACACAATGACAATCACTAACATTTATTTAGTTCTCTTGTTCCCACAGAATCATATCCTGCTCTCACTGCAGTGAACCATAATCTTCCAGTCCACATCAAGTGGATTGAGCCCAGAGACTCTTTCTCCCAACTGCTCCACATGTCATGAGAGGTGGCAGCCATTGCCAACTTCCGCTGACTTCAGTACCACTATAAGATTTTGCTGTCTAAACAGAGATTTCTTCACTGCCGAAAAGCAGCCACATCTTTGTTGAAACCCAGCAACTTGAAAGTGCTGTTGTGCTAGGAGATAATAATTTGCTGGATGAGACTTTAAAGAGTGTCCATGGAAGAATCCATATCTAAAAAGAATATTTTTTACAGAAGTCCATGTAGAACTTATGTGGCTTGAGATTTATTTATTCTTTTTTTAATCACAATGCAATGCTTAGCTTGAGAGAGCTTTTTTGAACTTATTTCTTAGACCACTATGTTGTTCCATCAGACAGAAATGCTTGCTTGCTGAGATTGCTTATTGAGTTATTGTTCATTTTCTTGTGTTTCTTAATGTTGATGTGGCATGAGGTAGACAACAGTTTGCACCAAAAATTTACTGTGAAGAGTGACATTTTCCCGCTTTCAAACTCTGAGCAATTACCCAGGAGTACATTTTCCTATTGATTGACTAAATCTGTTCTCTAAAATTTCATCTATTGTTTTAGAGTTATTTGTATTAATCTAAGAATAAAAAATGGAGTAGCAGTTGTGAGAGAAATGTCTGTATCATAGTGGTTCTTCATCAGCAAATAGGCAGCATTTTCTAAGCAATTAATATTTTAAATATGTAATTATATTTAAAGGAAATGGTTGGATAGGTCTTGATATAGCTTCTCTTAAGTTTCCATGGGTATTTCTATTGATTTAAAAAAAGTTTAATTAAGCCCTTAACATATGAGGTTCAAAAAGCAACTGGTTCTCATGGAAATCCTGATTTGTTTGTGAAGGCAGAATTCTCTTTTTTGTTAAAAGTACAAAATCAGGCCCTGACATTCCAAGTTTAAAATTCCAGTCCTTACAGGGAGCTACTAGATTTCTAGCTGATGTCCAGCCTGACTGAACCCATTATACCTGTTAGCTCTCTGATCCATAACCTTTAATTGAATATGTGCTTCAATGAGACAGTTCTCCCAGTCTCATTGTAAACCAAGGCCCCAGAAAAGCAGATGAGGCATACCACACTCATAAAAGTCATACCTCGTGTTTGAATATTACAATTATTATTCTATTTTTTTTAAAGTAATAGCTGTAAAAATGTGGGCGCTTAGCCTCCGTTATCAAAATATTTTGGAAGATAACCAAATTGTCATATAATAATGACTTTTTTTTTTTAAATTCAGAGAGAAAGGAACGGGCAACTATACAGTCACATGTATTTACTGAATTTATCCAGAACAGATTTGTCATTGAAATAAATTCACTCAGAAGCCTGAAGAACAATTAGAATAATCCAGTGCTGTTTATCTTTTAGTACAAATTGCAAATACTTTTTGAAATGCTACTTTATTATTTTTTAAATACTATTCTATTCATAAAAAAGTTACCTGAAATTTGATTTATGGATTTATAAGCATGAATGCATTTCAGACTAGTTAAATTCTATCAATCAGAGTCAATTGCTGCTTTTCCTTCTGCCCATGATTAAATTGATATTTAACTCTGAATCTGTACTGAAATATTATTTACTTACAGGAAATAGTTATGTTATAAAATAATTCCATTCTAGCAGAGCATTAGTAGTATTAAGAAGGGTATATTTTCTTTTTTTTTTTTTTTCCATTAGGCTTGGAAATGTGACAAACTTACATAAGAAATACCTTTCAAAATACACCTTTCTTCTCAAGGTAATGTGTATTTGTAGCCTTTTTCATTTATGAAAGCATTATAATTGTAAAGTGGTTAACTGATCTGCAAGTTTTGTCTCTGGATTTCACTTTCTACCCTGAATGCTTTGATCTTTATGCTTACAGAATTGCTCTAATTACAAGAAGGAGGGTATTTTAGACTCTTTTTGACAATAAAGAACAGACACAAAGAGCCTCAAGTAACAGACTATCACTGACAGGAAGTTTACTTCATAATTTAATCCTAACTGATATGACTAGAAGAAACAAGGAAAACCAATACCTTTTTGTCTTTGCTGATGGTTGTTCTGGCATTTCCCCACTAAGTCCTGAAAGTGTATTCTGTGACATTACTGGCAATATCCATCCTTGTCTCTTGGAAGTACCATCAGCTAGATCATCAGCCACAGATAGCAATCTTTAAACAACAATAAAATACCCTGTGAAATTGAATAGCTCTATTTTTGCTCATATTATTTGAGATATGAAAGCAAAAGTGATTCATGCAATAAACTGAACATCTTTTCCCCTAAAAAGAAATAAATATGATTATTTATTACTTACTTCTCGATAGGTGTAGCTTCCAAGCAGCTCAGAGTGACAGAAAGTGCAATGAAGAAAACTGACAGCTTTAGGTTGCACATCATTGCTTCCAAACTTTCTGAAAAGGATAATGATTCAAAACTGAAAACAAACTCAAATACTTTTCAGCATATCCTATTACTGATGCCCATTCTGTCCTAAATCAACAGCAGCTATTCTTTTTCACACGCTAGAGTAAAAAATTTATCACCCTGAGTTTAATGGCACAGCGCAGATTCAGACAGATAGCTCTCAACAGTAAAAGTTCATTTTCCATCTAGTAGTTTAAGTCCTTTCCCTTATCTCCAGTTTACATTTCCTGACATGTCCCAGTTTCAAATTCCGGTCCCCGATGCAATTTACCTTGAAGTTATCTTAGCCTTTTCCTGAAAAATGCTGTTGATTAATAATGAGAAACATTGTGCTTTCCCGAAAGCACATCTGTTGCACTGTATCTTAAGTAAGAAAAAAAGGGAAATTGTTTACCTTTTAGTGGTCAGGGAGCTAACTGAAGAAGCACGCCTGTGTTAGCAAGAAGGATGCACGCAACAATTCCACGCTTGCGACTAGCTCTGGAGTATCCCTTTTCCCCCTTCCTTGCTGACAAGTAGTACGGCTCTTATATACCCTTCACACCTTTCTCAGCTCTGACATCAGGCAGCACAGAGACACTGTCATTAATTCCCATCCCTATAGATAGAAAGCACCCCAGAGAGGAGCAGAGGCAGATAGGTCATTATTACATTAGCACATCAGTAAATATTAACCTGGTATATGCAGGATGCCCTTGTGAAGATACTCTAACAGCGTATTGCACATCAGAACTGTAGCCTCAGTTTTACAGTTCTGATAAGATGCTGAGGTAATATTCCCCGTGGGTGTTTTCAAGGGCTAAATAAGGTAACAAAAGTTATAAAGAAAGCCAGAGTAAATGAAACACCAGATCACCAGTAATTGAAATATAAGAAAACAGAGATCTTAGAAAAGATAGAATAGTTAAAGTTGTGGAAGTTTGTTGTAGAAGCATATAATGCTCAAAACAGAAAAAGTGTTTGAAGGGATAAAAGCTGTATGAGGAATAAGAAAAGTGTGCAATTTATTTTAATTGACAGATATGGTGATCATTCAGGGCAACAGGGTAGAAATCGTACATTTTTCAGTAAAGTATGAATATGAATGAAAACTCTCATTATTAATGTAAAATCTTATGTTTTACTAACACTGGTAGATTGCCTATGTCATGCATGAAAATTGTGTCAATTAATATCCCTAAGAAGGCAAAGACTAGGATTAAAAAGCTAGGAAATGCCAGAATAAAGGCTGCCTGTACAAATGTATTTCTCCTGTGTGCACTAGTGTGCTTTAGTGTGTTTGGGAGAAAATATACAGCTCTTAATACACTAAATTCCGTGTTAATGAATTACCTGATTGCAGATTTCCAAGGAATAGTTTAGAACCATTTTTTCCTGATGTCAGTGGGAATTAGGCAAATTAAGTTTTTTTTTTTTTCTTGTCTCATTAGTTGCCTTTAGGTGCCCAAATGCCTTTGGAAAACAGGACTTCCAATTATTTATGGAGGTTAAGATGCTGGTACAAAAGCTCAGGCAAAGTTTTCTGTGATAAGAAGTTATCATATGCATCTTCCATATCCCACAGAACCTGAATTAATTCATAACTGCTTCAATGCAGAGTACATTGCCTTAAATGGAAGCCTCTGTCTTTGTCAGTTTAGTCTGTAACACCAGATTTTCATTGAAATGGCTAAAGTTCCAGTGTTGGCTTTCTTCAGGCATCTGTGCTATTTGAGTTGAATACAGAAGGAATATTTAGCTGGGATAGTAGCCTCTTAGCCTGATACAAGAGCTAGTCTGCAAATGAGATTCTAGCAAGTAACAAAGTGTTTGGGCTTTCTTTGTTTTGGGTTTTTTTGTTTGTTTGTTTTTGGGTTTGTCTTTTGTGTTTTTTTTTTTTTAAAAAAAAAGGGATGCTGCTTCTGGATATTTTGCTCTCTGTTTTTAATGATAAGGTCACATACTTTTTTGTCCCCAGGTTCCTGTCATCTTTCCCTGGATGGACAGTCCCAGTGTGACAGAAGTAAGTATAGTGTTTTTTGTCTCCACCATGACAGTATGTTCTGTGCAACATCTGAAACAAATTTATCTCTCCAAAGAGTCTTCTGTTTTTATTTTCACTGTAGTGTTTGACTACAATGAAATAACATTCTGGTGTTATTTTCACTGTAGCAATTTCACTCCTCTGAAATGAAGGCATGTCTAGACCCATTTTACAGAGATAGAATTCTGCTAAAAAAACAATTATGAAAATAATCTGGCTGCTGATTTACACCAGGCAATATTCACTGCTTGAATATTGAGCTTGAGAATACCTTGGTGCACTTCTGGGCTGGGAAGAGGTCCGGATCCCACTGATATTCAGCACTGGTGTGTATGCTCAGCTCTTGTGAAATGGCAAGCTCAAGTTGTTTCAGCTCCTGAAAAGCAATGGATAGATCAGATGCAGTTTGCATCTAAGATTTTAAAAATTGGACTGAATATTCAGAATCTGCTATGTTTTAAGGCATCTAAGTGAATGGTTGTTGTGTCAAGCTTGAATCAAGGTATGGGTTGACATAACAAAAGTGAAACAGGCTTCTCTAAGAAATATTGGTCCCAAGTCCTAATTCCAGCTGTTCTGCAAGTGGCCTTGGGAAACCACTCTTTCTCTTCTTTGAGGGAAGAAGAGAAAGGCTGATTCTTGAATGCACAGTAGAAATGAAACTGGGCTCAGAGGTGTCCCAGGACCATTGCCTACCTCCTGGGCATTTTGGCAGAGTCACCATAAGTCAATCCAGCTATTAGTCAGACGTAATGTTAAAAAAATTAAGGTATTGTGGCTTCAGTTACAAGTTGTCTTAACCAGGAGTAGTGTTTTCCCACACAAACAAGAGTGGAATATGAAACTGTGGAATCTCTTTGGCAGCAGAACTATTCATAACTCAGATTTCAAGAACCTGGCACTAAGTACTGTGTAGTTAGTACCATTCAGTGAAGTGGGTTGTTATATTTAGTGATTGGTTATTTTTATCACTGACAAAGTTCCTTAACCTTGATCTTAGAAAAAATATTTTATTACTGTGAATAACAAATTTTATCAGCCTAAGGAAAAAAATCAAGTATTCTCAGTAAAGAAACCTATAACAAATTCTATCCTGAGTATTTACATATACTGGTGTTTAAGCCTGCATGAAAAGATTTGTCTGAAGTATTGTGCCTATATAAGGGTTAGGGGACACCTGAGCTGAGGTTTACAAAGAATCCAGAAGGTATGCTATGACAATGTCCCGGTTCCTTCTGGAAACTACCTACATAAAAGTCTTGAGTTGCAAGGTGATGAACATGCTCTGCACTGTAATACATGGTAGCTGAGGAACAGGGAACAAGCCTCATCTCAAGTGTCTGTGGCTTTTATACACTGGGGAGGGGGATTTATCTGACTAAATGTGAGATGAATAGAGAGACCATTCTAGTGCCAATTTCTCATATGTAAGTCTAAAATAGCTCAGATGGTTTCTGCCTGTTTCTCCTTTTTGACTATAAAAACAGCCTTGGATGACTTGGTCAGATATAGATGTTTACACTGTAGTTGTCTCAATGAATGCAAAATGAATTATTTCAGGGTGCTTTAAATTTCTTATGTGCTCAGTTCCTAACATTTAAGTTTGCCTCCCTCTTTTTCTCATATTTACCTTTTTCTTAGGCTATTCTTGACACCTGCTGGACAGCTGTTTCCCACTTTTAATGGCTGCTTTTCAATTTCTGAGTTCCACATTTGCTTAATAACATTAATAACACACATTAAGACTTTTGGTAATGGATGTCTCTTTCCCATTTGTGAGAGTGACAAAAAGACATTTTACCTGTTGCATGCACTTTACCAGATACTGTTCTGCTCTGTAAGGCAGATGTCTCCAGTAAATTACATCGTTGCTGAGTTACCAGGAACTAGAAGTGTGTGAATAACTCAGGGTTTAGTTTGCCTGTTGTATCAAAACAGAAAAGGAAAGGCTTTAGGCATTAACCTGAAATCAGCTTATTTCAATTTTTTGAATAAAACAGAAATCATAACAGCAGCGTTAATATGCATCAGTGTAAATATTACCAGTAATGAAACAGAATGGTGCATGTGTCAGTGCTTGTAGCTGTTATATGAGTTGAGCACAATGTTTCATATGATCTGACAAAATTGTTTCATTTTTATAACAATTTTATTAGCTTTTGATTTCTTTTAAATGAGTCTGAATCAAGCTTTGAAACAAAAGTATAAAAAAAAGATTTCATTGATAGTGTCAGCACCTCTGAAAAAGACTAAATGCCTTGTGTGCAAATGGCCAGATCTGAAATTAGAGGAGTAAATCAGGTGCCTAAACATAGTTTTCTGCTATCATTTTAGATGTCCTAGGATATTGAGGACTGACATTCATGAACCTGGCTCAGTTCATCCTAGGATATCCAGGACTCACATACATGAACCTGGACACTGTCGTAGCAACCGCAGACTAGGTGGAAGATCAGAGGGAGTCTAAAATTACACTGGACACCTATGATTAGGAGCCTGGATTGTTCCCTGAATTTTTACATTTGGATGCCAAAGCCTGAAAATTTTGGCTATGATACTCTCTTCCCAGTATTTCTTGCTTGGCACTATCTTGATGAATATTACAACGTTTGTACTTTCCAGTGTGTGGAGTTGTACTGTTAGCACTTAAGATATGTGTATCGGCGTTGTTCAAATACTATTTTATAAAATATACTTTTGCTAGAACAACTTTCTTTGTTACTCCTATTTGGTGTGGGCCATTTCAGCACTGATAAAAAGTCAAAGAACTCTACTTGTTGATCTTGTTGGGATCTTGCTGATTCCCAAACTGATGTTAAACTTGTCGAAGAAATGTGGAAGAAGCAGCTGAAGAGATAATAGGAGCAAAGTTAATAATTTCTTCCCCAGTGGACAAAACAGGTAATTCAGAAATGAAGGCTGGTCATCCATGCAATTGATGAGCAAA